TACTACCTAAATATATATGTATATATATATATATATATAGTTCCGTTTTATCTGAAATATTTGTAGTTATTTATTAACCACACCCTCATTCATTATGTTTTAATGGGTGTAACTGTTTTCGGAAAAACTTAGCAAATTAAATTTACGCTAACTTAGACTCTGCACATCATAATAATATTTTTTAACTTATCAGTTTTATGATATATATACTGAAAATTGCTTTAAACATATCTTTTATACGATAATTATGTGCACTAATATCATAATATCATGACAACAGTTTCGAGAAACTGTATTATGTCCGTTGTCGTTTGTTTGTTTGTTTGTAATTAAGCACAAAGCTACACAATGGGCTATCTGTGCTCTGCCAACCACGGGTATCGAAACCCAGATTCTAGCGTTGTAAGTCCGCAGACATACCGCTGTGCCACCGGGGGGCGTCCGTTATCGTAAAAATTTCAAACCCTTTGTAACAAATAAAGTAACGTTAACACATTGATGCTTTCTGTTAGGCTTATCATGCACATGCTTCATTTAATGATAACAGTAATGCTAATACATTTAAAGTAATACATTTGTACCACACCAATAGAAAGTGTCCAACAGAATAAGAAATGACATAATATACCATTGGAAACACATTTGAAACAAAACAGTTATACATTATTGCCGCCAAAATGTATTATTATATAATTATGTTTAGTGATAATAAGTAAGTATTGAAATCCATGAGAACAGATTAACTGTTGAAAATATAGTTGTAAATGTAGCATACACCAGTATTAGGGAAAGTATTTCATAAAATTTGCTGGTTAATAAAATCATGATTTTCACAAGAATTACGGCTATTCTTGTTTTTACGTGAAAAGTAAGATTTGTAAGGTTCGTGAATATAAATATTCTGAACGGATCCATTACACCTCTCTTACTTACTGAAATAGATAGTTATAATGACTCGTAGTAATTTTGCTTTTCGTCCCGGTCTGTTTGAATTATAAGTCTTATTGTAACCCATTCATATACAGGTATTAGTTAATTTCTATCTCTTAATACTTTTAATTACAATAATACATTCTTGACGTAATATTTTCGCTCACCAACAAGACCTAGACTATAATATACACACAAAAAAACATTAATGTTTACAATATTGTGGTGCATATAGTATTAAGAATAAGTATTCATATATTAGACACAAAAATCTAATTAATTAAAACAGGAAAAAGAAATCTGTTCTTAAGTTATTTATGCTAAAGCTGTTTTTATTTTCTGAGATTAAAAAATCGTTCATTTTTTATGATAAAGTGTAAGATTGTACTTTGTTTTTTAATTAGATACTACTATTTATACTAGCATTTTCCCCAATTTAAATGGCATTAATTAAGTATCAATATATATAGTTGTTGCTCATACTGATAGTATGGGGAAGATGTTATTATTTGACTCAGTCGTTATGTTTTGGCTTCCACATTTATACGCCAGTGTGTAGTTGTTACAGATACAGTGAGAACGATACCTTGTAAACAACCTCTTCTATTATATGAGTCATTTCTTTGCTCCGTTTTTAAACTGTGGCGTCATTTGTTTCCAAAATTCTCCTCTTTTAATCCTAACCCATGGTGACAAGTAGCATCCGGTTTTTTTATATAGCCCTAGAAAGGTATCTGTTTTTAAACAAGCTAAAAAAACCAAAGCGTAAAAACCAGCAGGCTTGGCGTGCTGTTTGACGTAAGGGAAACAAACACCAAGTCCTTAAGTACACCTGGAGAAATGTTCATATTGAAACCTTTTTTAAAGGTATTCATTATTTCTGGATTAAAAATATACAATATAATTAAATAAAAAAGCAATTAAACACAAAGTATCAAAGATATAAAAAAAGAGAAAACAATAAGTTTACAATATGAAAATGAGTTACAAAAAACAAACACGAATGGATTTCATTTGTTTTCACGCATAGCTGAATAATGGATTATTTG